ATGGATTTTTCCGAACTAAACCAAAAGTCATATTTGGTTGGTTGTAATAGAGCATTAACCCATCGAAATAGGCTGTCACTTTCGAAGATAAAAATGTGACCTTCATATACCGGGTGCTTCAAATTTGACCCTTACCTTTGGGATCTCGGAAACGTTAAGAGATACGAAATTGCTTAAAGGGGACAAAGTTGCGTATTAAGGTAGGTAACTAACAAAATGCCGCTTAGAAAGTTTCAAAATTCAATTTCCCAAATTCGATTCAATTCTCTCCTGACTTTATTTATAGTGGGTTCTTAAAATAAATCGCACAATAGCTTTGCCACCTTTTCTCTTCAAGATGGCAAAATTAGAATTACAATATGACGTTTCGTCGTTTGTCCTCCTTGGATTTGAGCAGATAAATAGAGTGCTTATGTCGACATTGCCAAACCTTAGCTATTCTCGAAAAACAGAAGTTCCCAGCTAAGCCTTGAAATTGTCAGATAATCATTTTGTTTCGTATACCAGCCCAGACTTCAAATTGAACATGGTAACAGAGTTTGGAAGACTGAGAAAAAGGGAAATTCATGGAGCAGAGAGCAATGTACATAGAAGGGTCAGGCTTTGCCTGATAAATAACAGGCAACATTTTAAGAATCTGCTATGATTACCTCTGTTTGTTTATGATTGTTGTTGTTATTACCATCAATAAAATTTTCATTTTGTGTTCAGGTTTTACCATGCCCTTTTATTTCCTTACGATTTTTGTAAAAAACAAATTCATGTCCAACTAAGGAAATACATTACCGAATATATAAAGGATGTCCGGTATTTATGTACTTATGTACTTTCAATAACAGCATTCTTACAAAATCCAGTTTTAAGCACATAATTTACAATATATTCAATGTTTTAGTACAATTTAATTTACTTCTATTCTCTTATTCATCCAAAATACAATTCGTTTATGGGTAAAGAGAATATTTCTTTAAAATTTGGACATATCAACATAAGGTCATTATTGCCAGCTCTCACAGAAATTGCGTCTTCAGTGTTTGTTGAATGTTTTGACATTTTAGTTATTAGTGAATTCTGGCTTGATGAAAATGTACCAGCTGATACTGGGGTTACAAGAATTATTATTTCTTCCGTAAAGAATAGGGGAAGTCGTGGGGGAGGTGTGGGAATATAATATATGAAAAATAACATATCTTGTGAAAATGTAGACTCCAGTGAGCATATCCTGAGTAATGCTTCTGCCGGTATTTGTCTAATCTCTATTAGTCTTAGTTCCGGTTTCTCAAAGAGCTGATGTTTTCTAAGACCCTGCGCTTAGCACCCGCAGAGCACATACGAAGCTGATATTGTTTCCCTACCGCATTGTTTGCAGTTGATCATAGAGCCATCATGCAGGTGTCCTTTCATGGTGTTGTGTCCTATTAGAAGGACTGTGACTACGTGCGGCTCATTGAAATCTGCCCCGCAGTCGTTGCGAACATGGGCACGAACTAAGTTCTTTTCCACTTCTGGATCCAGTCACTAAGCTCCTTGTGGTGCTGTTTTACCCATTCTTTGACTAGGTTCCTTATCGTCCTCTTTGGCATTTCCGAGGCGGGTTCTAGGCTTATACAGAGTGTGGATGATCCCTTGCCTTACAAGTTTATCCTTCCTTGCATTTCCGTCGTTTGTTGGAGACTATTGATGCAGTGCTTGTCGGCTTAGTATATGCTGTAAAACTTTGTCCCTTTGAGTTTTCATCCACCGCCAGGCACCTGCTACTCACTCTAACGTAATTGTATATAAAAAAAGAGAATGCGATTCCAGTAAAACAAGTTAAACGATAATGTATGCATTCGACACTAATGCTACACAGACATAGACTCCCTAATCTTCTCCAAGACGCAAAGATCCTTAGACCGGTACCTCATCGAATGAACTTCATCTCTCAGTGAGCATATCCTGGATAATAGAGCATTATTAGTACAACTATGGATATAAACCAGAGTAAAAAATCTTTCAATAGCATTTGGGGTTCTATATCGCCCTCCTCCAGGCAACGTATGCCATATTGTGAGACAGTGTGACCGCATAATTGTAGTGGGCGATCTTAATTTTAATTTAAATTAGACAATCAAGTGCTACAATGTCTTGAATCTTATAATTTGAAACAATTAATTACAGAACCTAGTAGAATGACACACCACTCAGAGACCCTATTACACAAATTTTTTATCAAAGTTCCTGAATTATGTAGTAATGTTGGGACCATGAACCTGGATCTCTTCACCTACCACAGACTGGTTTTTGCTGAGATTATGATTGAAGCACAAAACAAAAAGAATATGTCAATTCAGGTATTACAAATCCTTTAATCACAGCGCTTCCATCCAAAACTTGATGGATATAAATTGGGATATAATAGATTTTATCAGACACATTTAAAGTAAAACTGAATTCTTAAATGAGAATACCATAGCTTTTTAAGCCTCCAGCGCCATGGTTAACTGTACGTCTGAATGCTGCTTTTAAATAGATAAGGAATAAACTAAATATAAATTATACAAAACAAATGAGAATCGGGGAAATTATAGACAACTTAGGAACGAAATACTTGGCTTACTTCGTGATGATAAATCTGTATATCTACAGTCTGCTTGTAGATGTCAAAATTCAAAACAATTTTATAAGACGTTGGGCAAGATGAATATCCGCAGAATGACATGAAAATATCAGATACCTGTTAATTTGAAGGATGCTAAAAAAATCAATGATTATTTTATTTCAGTGTTTAAAGACGATATTTTGGCATGCCGTGAATCAATAGAATATTTTAACAAAAATAAACTTAGAAACGATTTAAATTTTTCATTCACACCAACCGCCGAAAATGAAGTATGGAAAACTTTGCCTTCTATAAAGTCCAACGCTAGTAGGTCTGATGGATTTCTACTGAAATGATAAAATTTCAGATTTCCTTTCATTCGAAGACATGTAACAGGTACAATACAGGTACAAAAATGTCTAGGTCTAGACGTTGGATATTTTCCGAATGGATGGAAAGATCGGTTATGTTTCCCCCAAATCTTACAATGATCTACGGCCAACCAGTTTACTCCCTGTTTTATCCAAATTACTTGAAAATATGATGTTTTCTCAATTTAATACCTATTAACTATCAAATATCTACTTCCAGATCAACAATCGGGATTTAGAGAGAGCTATAGCACAACGACAGCCCTTCTTCCGGTAAATGATGACATCATCACTGCCTTTGATAAAGGTTATGCTACACTTTTATTGCTTCTTGATTTTTCTAAAGCTTTCGACACAATTAACCACGAACACCAACCATGAACTATTTAGGACCTTCTGAGAAGACTGATTTTTTTCGGCACTATTTAATTGGTAGACATCAAAAAACTTCATTAGGCGACAAAACTTCTCCACTTGAGATAATCAAATCTGGCGTACCACAAGGTTCTGTTTTCGGGACACTACTCCTCACAATATACACCTCAAATTTGACCACAGTGGTTCAAAACTGTAAAATAATAACCTACGCCGACTATATAAAATTTATATCTAGCATTTCATCCAAATAAGCATGAAAACACTACCCCACCTATAAACAAGGATCAAAACAAAAACCAATCCATTTTTTTGAAGGAAAACAGGCAAATGTGTATCAACCAATCACAGTTGAAATTCTCTCACCGTGTAAAAGACCTCGGGGTGGTCTCTTTGGTAAAAAGTTATGTTCCGAGATCACGCCGCTGTTATAGGTCAAAGCTGCAATTAGCATTAAGGCTTCTATATGCTAACAAAAACATGTTCACCAAGTTTAAAAAAAATATGTGAAAGACTAGATATTTCCAAAATACTTTATTGTATGCTATTATATTATCCCTGCCTAGACCAATATACAGCAAAACGTTTGCAGAAAATCCAAAATTACAATTGCCGTCTGATAATCTAACAAGATATGATCACACCTGAGGCCATATCATTGCTATGAACTGGCGGAGTTAAAGATTTATTCAAATATTGATTGCTTACAATTCCAGATAAAACAATGCTCAACAAGAAACCTTGTTACTTGTAAAGAAGATTGATTCCTCGTCATAATATAATCCACACCAACAGAATTATTCGTTTTCCAGAAATATTCACTATGCTTCAACAGACTTTTATATTCACAAAATATTTCACATTTAATACAACCTCCATATACGGGTACAAATCTCTACCAAACGATCTGAAAAATATGACTCTGAAGAAGTATATCGGAAGTTGCATCTCCACTATATGGTTTCTCGTAATATTGAACTTTGACATTGATTTATTTTAACATTTTTGGTGAATATGTATATAAATTTCTAGTATCCAATGTAACACAAGGGTTAAGTGGAAGAATAGCCGAGGCTAAACTTAGCCCATTTAGAATGTCTCATTACAAATAAAGTCGTTTTTTATTATTATTAGTATTACTAATTACTATTTCAATATAACGTCCACCTGAAAACAAAAACAAAGTTGATGATGGAAGGTGAAAGAAAAAACCTAGTATTGAAATTTTGACTACGCCATCTTTTAGAGGAGAATAAGTAACAATCACAACATGGAACTTATTCAGGACAAAATAAAAATTATTCGGGGGTAAATCTGGTATGTAAAACAAATGATTATCTGATAATTTCAAGGCTTACCTAGGAAATTCTGCTTTTTCAAAATAACTAAGATTTGGAAATGTCAATGTATGACGTATTATATATTTTTGGAACCAGCACTAAAAACTCTATTTATCTGTGCAAAAATTAAATATGGAGTCAATAATAAAAAATAAAGTTGAAGTGGCGATGTTAATGTGCAATTTATTTTGAAATACCGCTACAAATAAATTCAAGAAACAATTAAAACTATTCTGGAAAAATTCTGATTTTTCCGTCTCTCTCCGGAAGTACTTTGAATTTCGAAACTTTCCAAGTGGCATTTTCTTAACTACCTAAACTGCATTGCCGCCATTTAAGCACCCGGTATAAATCTAAGTAATCCATGAAAAATCTATACAATAAGAGATCCTTATGACTTTTCATTGCTGTATTTATGTAATACACATCAATGTCGTTTGAAATAATTACAATCATACCGTGACGCCATCGTAAAATGGTATTATAAAGTAAACTGTGTAAAAATAGCATTCTGTTTTTTCAATGCGATTGAGCTGATCAGTTCCGTCTGTAAATATTCAAAGATAGAAAGCATTAGTGAGGTGTTAAAGGTGTGGCATCGTAATGTATGTACTCGTATATCTTAGGTTATTTATTTAGGAATAATTCCTAAGAGACACAAGTGGATGAAGGTGTCATGTAACAAATTCATTATATGAAGAAAATTGACTTTAAACATTTTTATTGTGACATTTTACTTTATTGACATTTTAAATATTTAGTTTAATTAGTCTGTTATTATCTTGTTTTGCAACAAAGTAATCACGGAATGAAAGAATCACTCCTTAAGGTTAGTTCAATGAAAAAAAGCAATTTTTAAGAAAATGTTACATGACACCTTTATCCACTTGTGTCTTCTATTATTTCACCGATTAATTGGTAGATCTTAGCCTAGATACAAACATAAGTTTCTTAGACTGTTTATTGAAATATGGTGTTCGTTCATTAGTCTAGCCTAAATATCGGGGCACCGCAGGAGCTATAAGGAACTTAAAGCTACATTTTTAGTCCAGTTAGTAAAACCGGGAAAAACCTACTCGGGCATCTTGTTCCACAATCTCGACACCTTGGGGCAAAGGAGAGGTTGAACTGGCAGGCGCATCGCGCGGTGGCATTATGAAGTAGAGTTCTGAGAAGCAAAGCCCGTTGGCATAGCGGTAAAAGAGCAGACACATGAGCTTCACCATATGACTGGATGAGTTCACTCCACAGTTTCGTGACGTAAGCTAGGAGGTCAGCCGAAAACCATACTCCCTGCCGCTAATCAAGATACTCCCGATTTGTGCACTTGTCAACACTCATTATTTTGATGAAAATTGAAGCACTCTTAAACCTATTTGAGAAGCTTCAAAAGCCAACTTCTTATTGGATATTCTACGTGCAACACGAGTGTCACAATAGACATTCTGCATAACTACCCTGCAGATGTGGTTTGAATTAGAAAACAAGATTATGTGATTTGGCCATATTAGACTTCCTCTTAAGGGGTTTCTTGCAGCATTTATCAATAAGCTGCAATACACCTAGTAGCGAACATGACCAAAATTCAGCTGGATGTATGGTGTATCTCTAGAGGTTGTCAGAGCATTATGTTGGGTCCAGAAGTTTTGACAAGAGAACCTTCCTTAGTGAACGAGTGGTCACATTTGTCCTCTTCCTAATATGAATACTACTCCGCCTATCAATCATAGACAATTCGATGAACACTTATAGAATTACTAGTAGAACAGGAAATAGATAATTTTTCCCTATAATTTTCGCGACCACCTAAGCGTATAAAGACTACTATCGTTTTTTTTGTAGAGAATAAGGTTTTTACATATTTTCTACACCTTGGTGGTTCTTCAAGTATAAGCAGCGAAAGTCAAAGATTCGTATCAAAACTGGCATACTCCGCACTCTACGTACATTGTCCACATGTCAGCCTACATCTTTTCACGTGGGTATAACTCCATAGGTCATTATCTTTGATCAAGGATACCACTTTAGTGTGTTTACAAAATCTGCCTATTTCTTTGCCTACTAGCCCACCGGAGAAAGCGAAAATTAATCTTATTATTTAATCCAACATCTGGAGAGACATTTCAGACGATACTTTTCTTGGCCTAAGACTGTGTAGGCTCGTTGCGAACCTTGGCGATGTTATAAGAACGAGAAGTTTCTTAACTTGCGTTTGTTGATACGCGGGATTTTGTCGCGGTAACAACGCATCTTATAAGGTATCTCACTCACTTTCATTTGCTCACCTTGACATTATTTTATCATACTGCATTTGTTGATAATTTACTTTTACAAATCGCGTTCTTATCTTTTCGTTGTAAGCTTCTAGTTGGATAAGGTAATCACTTTTTGTTATTTTTCAGTCGAATCATGCTGAATATTGTGGTTGGCGTAGCTTTACTAGCTATTGCTTATGCTGAGGTGAGTGATTAGATCCTTTAATTTTTAATAACATAACAAATTAAATTAATTCAGACTAAAAGCTCATATATTATCAATTCATATGTTTGAAATAAGATAGCTGATCCAATATTTATTCTAATCCCTTAATAATAATAGTTTCTACAAAGGTTGCCATGATAGCTTTTGGATATTAATTTCTACTTTTTCATCTCCGAAGAGCTGGCTTTCCTGAAATACCTAGTCACTAGTTCAGCACAGGTTATTGACCCTAACGTTTGTATTTGTTTGTTTTTTGTCTCATACAGGTATTAAAAGTTTTGATTTAAACAATTTCGTTTGTATATAGTGATACAAAAGACAATGACAATATTCCAAGAGCAGAAAGTACATCCAAAAATAACGAAAAAGGTTTCAATAAACAGATGCCCTAAAATATCATATTTCCAAGATTCAGTATGTTGTAAGGTTTTACCCCATTGATGAGACTGAAACATAAATATTGCCAATTAACGCTATGGTGAGATACAGTTACTTTAGTAATATCTTGCATATAATTTTTAATGTCAAACATTTATTTACTTCAGAGCATTTTTAAATAGAAAGACAATAAATTTGAGTACTGATAGACCATCCTAAATAGTACACTAAGATAACACATAAATATATGTCACAATGACAGCTAAGACTGTTGAGACTCTTACACATAACATGCACAGGTGACTAAAAATATTTTTCTTTTTTCTTCTCTTCTCAAGCATGAACAATTTTATATGATTTTGCTATGCTCTTAGCACTACACGTACAAAGTTGCAAGCCAATATTTTGCTCTATTTTGAAGGTGCAATTTTTTATCGATTTTGAACTTCAACACCTTGTAACTCAGTAAAGGGGTACTCTTTCTGTATCTAATCCGCTTGATGCCCTGTAAATATTGCTGCTATTCCATAAATTACCCTGTATAGGAAAGCAATATGATACACATCTCTATCTGACCTATGTCGCATAGACCTTTCAATTAGAAATTATATATTTTTTAGTTTAGTACTTTGAAAAAGGCTACCTTGATAAACGAAACGTCAGTAAAGCCATCTTCAATTTGCTTTAATGGCCAAGTGAAACGGATAATCTGAGAAAAAAAAACACAGAAAATACAGGATGGCCAATATATTACTGACTGGATTCCTTTTCCCATATCTTTGAAATGAAGACCAATTTATTACCTTATTCCTTTATTAAAAAGGTGTTGATATCACATTGATTAAGTTTTAAATTATTTTTGGTAGGTTTCGAAAGGAATATTTTGGATAGATTCCAGAGCATTACTCCTCATCCTATCTATTGCGCTTGGTATGCTGACATTATGCCCTAGAGAAAAACATCTGTAACCATTAAATCTGGTGGTCTTGGAGACCATATGATATCTCCTAATGGGGGGAGCAAATGACATGAAAACATCCTTGGTAAAATATTCATCGTTTCTCTAGCTGTATTGTCCCATTCTGCTTTTAATGAAAAATATCAAGATACAAAAATTTAATTTGATTCACTTCGTTTTAAACATATTGGGAAACAAATCAGCTAGGAAGTCTCTCTTGGCGGATGTGTCGCTTTGCCTAGAGATTTAAAAAAGTACATCTTAAACAACAGAATAAAATAAGAGTTACCAAGTTCATTTTAATGCTCTCTATTCACGAAAAAATTATGCTGATTATGACAAAAAATACAGAAAAATTAAAAGAAATGTGTTACTTTCAGCAACAAGCTGCGGTGGTCTATCTTTTTGACCCATCTGGCAAATCCGGTGTTAGCGGAAATGTCAAATTCATCAAAGAAGAAAAGGGCGTTCATATCGAAGGAGAAATCCATGGACTCACCCCCGGGAAACATGGCTTCCACATTCATAATCTAGGAAATATTGGACCTGGATGTACGGGTGCAGGACCTCATTTTAATCCACTAAACGTACGTAAAATATACAGTAGTGTGTGGGAAGTAAAAACGCCTTTGGTTTCGACCAACACATTTTTAGTTCAGAATTTCCAAATCTATGAAACGCCGCTATGTTTAATGAAAATTATTTGATGTGTGCATTAATCATGGAAACATAAATGATCGTCGGCTTTCATTTATTTAGGAATTATTTCACCGATTAACTGGTAGATCGTTAGCCTCCAGACTAAAAATGCCAAACATTTTTGAAAATAACTGGTTGCGTTGCAATATTTAAGAGTCAATATTGCCATTCGTGATATTTTGAACTGCATATTTTTTTAAAATGAATCTTCTCACATGAAGACAGAGCACGGAAGGATGTTATTTTTTACGAAAAAGGAAGTGCAGCACTTGCACGCTTGTGATGATCCCAATTTAAAATGCACAATGAATGCTGCTTACCGACCTACCGACCTTGCTAGCCATTTGCATGTATGTCTTGTTATGCTATATTATCTTCAAGGCGCTTTTGTCTACATTCCTAACTATTTCCTAGGTAAATATTTTCGAAGATAGTCACATTTAAACAAACCAGTACTGCTCAAGGTACATTCCTCACAAGTAAAATGGTTTGTTGTCATTGCAATTAGTGATTAAACATATGGGAATGATTGATATTCCGTAGCTGACGTGGATAAGTAAATAGTTGATAAATTTCAACTGTACTGTGGTAAACAGGAGCGTGGATCCATGAACTCAACAAAAATTTGAATAATCAGTGAGGGGGTTTTGAGAATTGTCGTTTTTCCCAAATAACTTTTAACAATATATATATATATATATATATACAGGGTGACGCATCGAAAACGAAACAGACGCATTTACTGGCAGCACAGTTTTTTTAAAAACGCTCAGATCCGTCGATTTTGTTTTCGAGGGGGACACAAGTTTGGCAAAAAATCACGTTAGCACGTGCAGCCCCGTAAGCGGGGGTGACACCACCCCCAAAATCTTAAATCGAAAGGGGGGTCGAGTGATACCTTATTTTAAAGGTATTTCAATTCTCTTTATAATGATATAAAATTAATGTACTTCAGTTCAGTAGTTTTGAAGATTTATTGATTTAAAGCTTAAATAAAACTAATACATCATCATTAGTGGAGATCAATACATTTGGAAGCAAAATAATTTAAAAATGAAGAGTGAACTGACCCGTTAGGCAAGTAAGCGTTGAAAATGGCCACCATGACTCTCCATGCAATAATAAAGATTTTGCTCAAAACGTTGCCGCACATTTTGCAATATTTGAGAAGTAATTTGAAGGCTACTCATTCACAATTCTTTGTCGCAGGTCTTCTATATATACTAAGTGACATATAAATCCGAACACCCAGTTTAAATGGTTTTATTTTAATAAAAGTTGGTGAATGTATTTATCTTACTGTAAATAACAAGTGAAAAAATTTTCAGCTTTATCAGTTGGACATTCCGGTTTTTATACTGCTTTTTTTTAATTCACTAACGCTCTAAAAATGAATATTTCAGTCGCAGTAAAGAATCAACGTTGGCGGATTTTGGTTCTTGACATCCTTTATGATCGGTTACGATGCCTAGAGTATGGAGACCTGTACGATTTCGTCAACTTAGTGAGTTTGATAGGGGCCGTATAGTGGGACTTCGGGAAGCTGTACTTTCTTTTCGGGCAATTGCAGTTAGAGTGCAAAGAAGTGTAGACACTGTGGTTAGGTGTTGTCAGGCATGGCTTCGAGAAGGCCGTACGCAAAAAGCAAGGGGCACTGGACGCCGCCGTAGAACAACAGACCATGAAGATCGCCGCCTAAGATTATTGGCCTTAAGGGACCGTTGGTATGCGAGGTGTTTACCGACGAATGAGAAGTTTTGGCTTGTTTTCATACCGGCCACACTGGGTCCTCCCTTTAACTCGAAAACACCGACGTAATCGCCTTGAGTGTGCAGACAACGGTCACTCTGGGATCAGGAATGGAACAGTATTGTCTTTAGTGACGAGTCTCAATTTTTTTTAGGCATGCACGATGGTCGTGCCAGGGTTAGAAGGCGACGTGGTGAAAGGAGGAATCCACAGTTTTTTGTTGAAAGACATGTTCATAACACTGTTGGAGTTATGGTTTGGGGTGCTATAGCTTATGGTTCCAGGTCACCTTTAATCTTCATCAGAGGTAACATGAACGCGCAGCGTTATATCCACGAAGTTCTAGAACCCCATCTTTTACCCTATCTTGACACCCTGACAGATCCAACTTTCCAACAAGATAATGCCCGACCACATGTTGCAAGAGTCACAATAGACTTCTTTCAACATAATGATGTCACATTGTTACCATGGCCACCAAGATCTCCCGACTTATCCCCAATTGAGCACGTGTGAGATATGATGGGTAGGAGATTGCTCAATTTGCAACGTCCTCCTCAGACTCTAGAAGCACTTCGAGAGGAGTTGGTGGTTGCCTGGAATGAGATACCACGGGAGGACATTGACCACCTGATCAGAAGCATGCCTAAGCGCGTTGGAGAATGCGTAGCACATCAGGGTGCATCCACACATTATTAAAGGTCAAAGGGCTTTAAAGCAGTGCAATCATTTTGAAATTTTTATCATTTACTTATTATGCTTCATTAAGTACTTATACAATTTTATTAAAATAAAACCATTTAAACTGGGTGTTCGGATGTATACATAGTATACATTTCACCGGTCAGATTTCCAGGTAAGAAAAAAGGACCAGCTAAATGATCGCCAAAAATACCAACCCAAACATTTAATTTTTGTGGCTGCTGTGTATGAACCTCATGATAAATTCTGGGATTAGAATCGGATCAATATCGGCAGTTATGACGACTTACTACGCCATTTAAGAAAAAGGAACATTCGTCGGAAAAGCAAGTATTGAATAGAAAATGTTCATCGTTTTCATATCTTCACAAAATTGTAATCGCCCATCAAAATCGTCTTCATTAAGTTCTTGTACCAGGTGAATTTTATACGGATGAAAACTATGGGCCTTTAGAATCCGTTGGACAGTACGTCGACAAGCATCACACACAGTCTCCAATTTGCGGGTACTTAACGTAGGATCTACATAAACTTGCCCTAAACCCCCACTTCTATTGCCTTATGGGATTTTCAATGTTGCGTTTTTTATTGGCGACTGACCCAGTTTCCCGAAATTTAGCAACAAGTTCTAGAACATATTTTCGATGCACGTTATTGTTTTCATGTCGTTCATTAAATACTTCTGCTGTTCTATTAGCGCACTGATTATTTCCGAAAAATATTTCGATAATTTCAACTCTTACTGCTGTGGAATATACCATGGTTAATTTATGTAATAAAGCGTTACAAGTTATTTTAGCAACAAAGTTTGGTCAAATCAATCGCAAACTATGTACTAAATTCCTATTTAAAATAAGTACGAAAAAAACGCTCCAATAGCTATTTTCAACAACAAAATCATAAACAAACCATGGGCGTAGTGAAGAAAAGCGTTTACTTATTAAGTAAATTCTTTTAGTAAAATGTCTTCTGAAAGTAGTACAAACTAATCTGATGTACCTATTAAAGTCTACTTTAAGCTTTAAATCAATAACTACTGAACTGAAGCTCATGTATTTTACATCATTATAAAGGGAATTGAAAGACATTTAAAATAAGGTATCACTCGACCGCCCTTTCTATTTAAGATTTTAGGGTTGGTGTCTCCCCCCCCCCCCGGGGGGCTGCACGTGTTAACTTGATTTTTTGCCAAACTTGTGTCCCCCCCGAAAACAAAATCGACGGGTCTGAGAGTTTTTTCAAAAAAAACTGAGCTACCAGTAAATGCGTCTGTTTCGTTCTCGATGCGCCACCCTGTATATATATATCGTACCCCTGCTCTTTCACATTTCAAATTTTCTCCCTTATAAAAAAAGGGTTATGTTTGCATTGTATTTCTATATACTGCTTCAATAAAGGGATCTTCTAAAAACCTCTTTTCTCTCATGCTTTGTTCCTTGACCAACCACAAGGATAGGGTTCAGTAAGATGCAACATAAATCAAAACCAATATAGCAATTAATACCAGTATAATCTCATTCTATTATTTAAATATTAGTTCCATGAATCCTAAATCGTGACTAGGTAAAATTACGTTTAATTGTTTCATGTTAACATTATATATTTACGTGATTAGCGTGAGATACTTTCTTGATATAGTCACCGACATCCGACATCGTTATTTTTCATTTCTCTGAGAAATTTTCCGCCAGTTGCTCAGCTGAATACCCAGTTAACTAAAAATTAAGTTTCTAAATAAAAACATTTACCTCTAATGTACAAGGTCATATGTGGTGAACGATCAGTGCTCATGATGGTTTTTTGTGATTCGAAAAAGCATATTGAAGCTTATAAATTAAGTTTTATTTGTAGAAAAGCAACGCTGCTTTTTTAGATGATTAGAACTCTAAAGTGTACGGAAACAAAGGGATTCTTAAACAGTCTATAGCGGGATATTCTTTACCTAAAAAATGTATTATTAATATCTGAAATAGATTGTATACAACCATTTTATCTCTTACGCTACAATATTTTCAGACAGACCCGCCGCGTATAGGTCTAACAGCAACGCAACTGGCCTATGTTTATGTGTACAAAACGCAGTATGGTGGTTTCACGTCTGGCGCTGGATCAAGGCTGACTTTCGTGGTTCGGCAACATTACCAGGTGGTGGTATTGTCGGTAGGGTAGAGGAGAAAATTCTAGATCGCAGCGTTAACAAGTCGGTGGGAACTATATACTAATTGTCTGGATCTGTTGACTTGATCCATTTAATTTTTCGTGTTATTCATGTTTGTAGCTCACTTTTCCTCAGGGAGCTAACTTGTACCAAACATAATCCTTTATGAACTAATGACAGCGTTGCGTGGGAAAAGCAGAGTTAACCTACTTCTCACCAACCTTTAAGATGATGCAGTTTATACTAGTTTTTTTGCTCCTATTTGGAATTCGTATATTGATAGAATACTCATTTTAACATTATTCCTATTTTTCATCTTCTTCCAGAAAACCCACGGTGGCCCCACGGATCAAAACCGTCACGTCGGTGATCTCGGCAACATTGTAGCCGACGCAAGCGGTGTTGCCAAGATCAACTTCATCGACAACGTCATCGACCTTGAGGGAAGCCATTGTATTCTTGGACGGGCCGTGGTCGTCCACGAAAAAGAGGATGATCTTGGAAAAGGTGGAAATGACGAATCCCTGAAAACTGGCAACGCTGGAGGAAGATTGGCGTGCGGTGTCATCGGCATCCTGTAAATATTTTGATCAAATGGAAGAACTGTGTCCAGAGCAGGTTTTGATCAAGTTAAATTTCAACATAAGGTCATTAAATTAGTTTGGAAAATTGAAAAATGTAGAAAATCTTGAAGACTTTGAAAATCTTTAAAAATGATTTGAAAAATATGAAACTTTGTGAAATTTCAATACTTTTAAAATCTCGAAAATTTTGTTAATTTCAAAATTTAGAAAAGTTAGAAAATGTTGAATATTTTGAAAATTGTAAATGTATATTCTAGAATACTTCTCAGGGAAGCGTCATTGTTAGCTTAACATTAAAGGAGAAACCAGTCCTCAAACGACAAAAATGGCGCTGAATTCCCAAGTTATCTTTTGAGGCCAATGGTAGAAATCGACATTTTCTAGTCATATAAACAAGATTTTCGTTCAATGTACACTCATCCCACTTGTTTTCTTTTGAATCGATTCGAATACGTAATCGTAAGCATACAAAAAATGCCTGCTCCAAGCATAGTACTTTACCTGTATTCTTTTGTTGTGCTTCATCGCCTTTTCTTTAATGTTTTCTGTGCTGCTTTTGTAAGATTCAACTGTGGAACCTGTAAAAATTTCCTTACTACGAAATATATGGTTCTTGTACTGCTATTTTTGTTCGAGATCATGCTGTGTCGTTTTTCATTTCATTCCTTTTTACCCATTTATTTTGTTTCCTAATGTGAAAATAATAGAAAGAATAAGATGATCCAGGCGATGAATCAAGTTCTTCTGTGGTATGCTATCTAATTTTTTAAATAAGCCACTTAACCTGGATTCATAGGGTTATGAATGGATATAAAAAAATAAATGTCCAAAATCTTGTTTAGCAACCCACTGCCTAATCAGTTTTTCCTTATACACCTTGGGAAAAAACATTATTATACATTATGATGAGGAAGAGAGATGGAAATATACAAAAGTATGTAGGTGCGTGAAAGACACTCGATTGTAGGATCCTATGTGGCAGCGTCGGAGTGTGACGGACAACGGGGTAAAGTAGAAGAGCGATAAAAGAGAGAGATGGCAGAACGGGCGCTGGCGCCTACCGCTTAGACGGATGCGCTCAACAAATGCGATTTGTTTCTCCCATTCGCAGAGTTGCCGATACCAATATGTCACATTTCTAAGAAATCTAAGTCTACCCAAATTTCGGGATTTGCGGATTCCACATAAAAGTATTCCAAAAATGAAAAAAGTTCAAACCATTAAAATTGTATTAATGTTTCATGGTTCAAATCATATTTTTCATGTTTGTATATCGTTGTATAAATGATTTTGTAATCCCTATTCTTGTTGCCAGTAGAGATACAACAGTATTGAGAGAAATCATGGACCGCTAGATAGGGCTACAACTACCATATGACTATCAAATAGTAGTGATAAACAGGGTTTGTTTATAGCACAGTTGCCTGGTGTGGCGAATTTGCGCCATAGGGGCGATTTGACAACTTTGAAGGACAACTATAACGGTTACTATGGTGCCCGGTATTCGGGAATCTGGCAATACCTGATGATTCCTAACGTTTATTACGCCAGATTGCTTGCTGACTTGCGCAGTACAACATGACAATCAACGTGACTGAGCACCTGGTAACCCTGGTTTAAGGTGTTATATTTAAAGAGCTTGGGGCAGTTAGGTATCTAGGTCACATTTTTTAATGTATTTCGAGAAATCCGTAATGTTGAGTAAATACTAGATCACGTTTCTTGCTTAGTTTGCTGAAAATTCTACAATAGACGTACATTTTGAGAAACAGAGATTTGGTGACGACAAAATCGTAAAAATATAACGCATTTTCGTAAAATAATTTCTTTGTTGAAAAGACTGTGGCTTGATGACCCATTGAACGAGCATAGTGTCCGGCTCCGCTTTGAATATTCGAAACACTATACTCCAGCAGCATTCAGCTTCAATGTTATCTTTATGAAGTTCTAACGTCTAGGCCATGCTGATTAAAAGCTTGAATGAATCAACACTTAACTCTAAATTCCCCACAATTCAGGAAGCTCTACTCAAATTGGCAACACAGCGTATTTGCCTATTATTCTCATTCGTGATACAGGTCTGCGGTTAACGGTAGGAAATATGTACGAATAGCGATGAAAGTAGACGAGCCGATGCGCTGTTGCCAAGAAATGATTTCCCATGTATAACAATGGTTTTTCCTAAGGTGTATAGTACAGTCTAAGTATACCCCTCACTCTAAGGTTAGATCCGCCCCCCAGAGTTTTTATCTGGATACGCCACTGAGTTAGTTTACTATGTTAGGATGCAAATAGGACAATTGCCGACTTTTTCATAAATTATGTGTAATACCATTAGCAACAAAATAGTATCAGTAGAAAAAATTTGGCCCATCTAGACGTAACTGAGTTATGTACTCGTATAATAACCTGCCGAAATTGTATCCGTTAACATGATAGACATTTCGTGGAATAAAAATATGCTAGAATTTGAAATCTTGTCGGCAAATGCTTACACATTTAGAATGTATATAAAAGTAAGTACCATCTTCTTTTTATAGGTCTGGGGACTTTACGTCAAGTAGCTCAAAATCAGGTTCCTGTTCAGTTTTAATAGCTCTTATTGCGGTATCATTCTTAAAATTTGTGATAACTTAATAATTTGATTGTATCATTGTAAAAAATGCAGTTTATTTTCTGGCTTTGATATCTACTTAATTTAATTTTGTATTCTTCATATTGTATATGTTAATGCAGTATTAAATTGTACTTCGAAATCTTTGCAAATTATTTATTTGCTTGTGATAAAAACTTTGTATCGTTAGTTTAGAATAGTAGAGTTGAAATACTCTTATATTGTATGAATATAAGCTCTTAGCTTGAATGATTAAATGTACTTGTTGGTAATATAAGTAAAGTAAAAAATAATATAATAATAATAAAAAAATATTTTTAAATATCAATATTTGAATATAATAGAAATATAGAATCCTTCAATAAAGTGTATCATAGCCTTGTTTAATTCTGTCTAAGCCCCTACTTATAATATTATAAATGAGAAAGTGTGGAAGTTTGTTTTTCCATCATGCAAAATGGCTGAACGGATCTGGCTGACATTTGGTACAGGGATCGAATATATCTTGGAATATTGCAGATGCTACCTTTTATCCCGAAACATAATTTTGTAATATCTATTTCACGGGCTATGGCCCAAATAGTCTTATGGCATTTGACATAAGGTGTGTATCGCGGAAGCGCTCAGTCGCTGGTCTGACCGAAATGAGTAAGGATATATAAATAGGGCATTTGCATTGTGCATTTTATTATAAATGAGGAAGTGTGCATGTACCTTCTGTTGCGAAAAAAACACTTGAAGTGTTTAATATAGGGGGTGAAAGTCACTAAGGGGAAACTATCACTCTTTAAGTTAGAGATGCAGATATGAGCTTTGTACGAGTATACTTGGTTGTCTGATATAAGGTAAATAGGCACACACAAATATATTTTGGAAATTCCACCTCTAAGTGGTGCAGTTGAGGTTAATACACTTGTGACTAAAGGAACCACTGCAGAACCTAGAATATTTCAAATTAGGACAGACTACAAGTAGGAGTATGTTCTGGCTGAAATAAAAATACTAATAAAATATTCCAGAAAATTTCATCATTCAAATAGCGGAGAAAGAGGTTTGGTTAAATATTTCTATGAGGAACCATCTCACTTTTCAAGTGATGTTTTTATAAATTTATCTCGGTAACTTTTTGACCTGTGAACACAAGATTCAGAAGAGAGGTACTTTATGGACAAGACAAGCCAGCTCAGAACGGATTTCACGATATGATTAAGGGGGGCTAGGGACAAAAGTTTTAGAAACAAAGGTTTTTTTAACAATGTAACATTTGATTTAGTCTAATGCGTTAGATTCAACATTTCAGTAATTCGAACAATTTAAGAGTAGAGTAGACAATATTTTTAGAGCCAGGCACCTTTATTATGAGGTTTTATCAAGAGCTTCACATTGAATCATTTCTACTGAATATCCATCCTTTATCAAGAAGTTATTCATTCAGACGCGATTGAAACTAGAATAAATAATCGGCTGATATCGATATTCCAAAGGCCGATATATCGGTGTTATTGGCCCATAAAAGTCATTATTGTCTTTGTATATAATCAGGAAATCAAAAGTGAACACGTTGGACCTTACGTTTGCCGCAACACGTCTATGTAAGTCATAAAATGATCACCACCACCTAGGTGGCCGACTGCTGTATAAAATTTATTAAAAAATAAACATTTGGAAGCCTTGCAAAGACCTGAAAATTCGCAGTTTGCTCGCTTCTGCTTAAAATTTATATCTGCGCTAAAGTGTTTTTCAAAAATGATTTTTTTTATATTTGATGTTAATATGGTTTGGATGAACATTTATTAAGCCCTCAGGAATTTGATTGAAAAGCCGAGAAATGTTGCATGAAAAACAGGTTTGATGAGATTAAGTGATACGTTCCTCCAAAAACGCAAAATCAATGCGAAAAGCTATTTTATTGAATAAGTATGGTAGTTGCACAAAAAACAAAATTTTGAAAAATTAAAAAAAAATTACATGCGCACAATTCACGTTGACATCACATACTCAATCAATCTGCATCAAGTAACTTCTGCGAAACTCTTTGAAACTTGCGTAGAGCGCAAATAAATCTTGCATTCTTTCCAAGTTCCTTTGAGCTGCTTCTGTCAAATAACTGACTTTTGGAAAAACTACTGAGGGATTTTACAGTGTGTTTTGGCTTTTATTGGAGCGCCTTGCATTTTTTCCTACAATTAGTTCGTCATTACTATTTCTCACCTAGTAATGATCCTTTGTCTTTCATCATCCATGAAGAAATTAATATCTGCCCAGCATAACAAACACACAATAGCTTTTCTCTTGGAAGCACGACATCACGTGACCCACTTTTTCTTAACTACCGTTCATTTCCCTTGGTGGCCCCATTTACATTTTTACCTTTGCGTGAAATAACATCGAAATAAATCACACGCCCATATGGTCGTGAACTTTGGTAATTTACAGGTTTTTATTACTAACAGCAACCCTTCTATTTCTCTTCCCTCTTCACCCGGTTTTAATCAAGTTTATTATTAGCGTTCAGAATGTTTAAGTAGATAATTAAATTTCTGTGTTCTTCAGGGTGTTCCGATCTGCTACACTGCTACACTACTGGTACTATGGGAGAGTAAAGAGGAAAACATAGAGAACGTCAACAAACTTGATATTTTGAATATGTTCAGTGTTGCTGACTATTTTTTGACGTAGTACAACAGTTCACGAGGACCAACAAAATTCGTTATTTGACGTTATTCTACTTTCGGGCCATAGTAGAAATATACGTTGTACGAATATTCTGAAACCAGGCACGCCTTCAACGGTTCCACACATCGCTAAGAGCACTTATAATTTCTGTGTAGCTAAGATGACCTTGAGCCTTATTCGATCAATTTGTCAACCTACTTCTTACCATTTTTTTCTATTCAGTTCTCATATGATTCTAGAAAAAGTTTAAATTTCGTTGTTGACACAATATAAGGCCAGTTGAATGACATCAGCTCAGAGCAGCAAGAGACACATCGGTACAAATACAATTTAATCAAAGTATTCGGCTTAATGTAAGCGAATTTTCTGGAACCAGTTGAATTAAAAATAATAGAATGATTTGCTTGAAAATAGCAAGCCATGGACCTAATTTATTAAACTGTTAAATTAGTTTAGATAATTTAGTTTATGCAGAAAAGGTACATTTAGCCTCTTAATAAAAACCGTTAAACCCTTTATTTGAATCGCGGACTCGGCCCTCCATTCGTGAATGATCGAAAGTATGTATGTTGGTGTATTAGCTGTGAAGTGGATCAATTATGGTGATCAAATGAAATAACCATGGTTAGTACTATATATTTCTCTATGGGAGTCGCTGCTGACGTGACGGAATGGGAAGAACTATGAAATTATATGTTTTAAACTATATTTAGGTGAATGAAGGGCATTTATACCAAACATGTGCTTAACATAGGCTTGATGTGGTTTTCTTTGATATTTCAAAATGTATATATTGGAAGTATTTGAAAATATCCTAGTCTGTTTAAAGTGTCCTCGAATCTATATATATATATATATATTTTTTTTTTGAGACGTGGTCATTGTCGTCTAGACCAGTTAGGTGAAAAATTAAAGCTTCCGCTTTTTGTTGGGTACTTCGACAAAATTTAAGCAAAGAGGACTTTTTATACTTTTTTTAATTCTCTCTAGCTTTCAATGGACTTTGCCATCATCATCAGGAGCTGCAAAAGTCGAAATTTGGGGAGATATATATCAACAGATATTAAACAACTGAGTGTCATTTACTCATATTTGCTAAACTGCGAAAAATTGGAGAACTTACATATCTCCCCAAATTTCGACTTTTCACAACCATAAATATAATCTGTGTTTTGGCCGATTCCACCAACAAATTTCATTCCACTCAAAATCTAATAATTCTCTTCTCACGATTTATTAATAATTGTTAATTTAAAATTCCCATTAATTAAAATATATTTTATTCAACTGCCTCTGGTCGGTTCAACAATTTCTTACATAACATTCTGAAAATCACATCATCTGATGTGATTTGGCAACGTATTGGCACACGCCCACAATTCGTTCCATCTTTCAACACAGACATTGACAACCTTCGGCCTTCTGTCAAAGGTTCATCTCACTCATTATTCCATGACCACCATTTTCTGCAATCATCAAGTGGCTTCACGACGTAATGCTCTAATGTTTTCTAAATAATTTTTAATCTGTCATTAACTTGTCTTGTCATATTTTATATAATTTTAACCATTGTACCATGTATCCAGCTCTCACCATGTTACTGGACGTTTCCCTCATCCTATACGAAAACAACAATTAGCAACATCCTCACATACTACTGTAAGTTGATTCAATTTAAATTCATTTTACACTTTTGTTGCTACTGTTATCATTGTAATTGCAGCTCCTGATGATGATGGCAAAGTCCATTGAAAGCTAGAGAGAATTAAAAAAAGTATAAAGAGTCCTCTTTGCTTAAATTTTGTCGAAGTACCCAACAAAAAGCGGAAGCTTTAATTTTTCACCTATATATATATATATATATATATATATATATATATATATATAAATGCGTTGAATGCGGGTGAGTGCAATATCGTTTTATTATTAGAAATAAAATTACAATTCTTGTTCGCATGACCTCATTCAGTTTCAGGTATCAATTTCTCTACTTTCTCAATTGAAAACAAAGAATTGTCTCTAGTTAATGGTGATATATTTGATCTTGTTTCTAGATAAACAGGCAAATAGTTGGTAAAACTAGATCCTATATATAACAAGTTCACAATCAATGAAAATAAAAAGTATCGAATTTTGTTAGGGTTACAAAATTCGGAAGTCCTTATTTTGACTTGAAAACATTAACTATCGATATCAAGTTATACAGCATTCAGTGAAATTCACTTAGTTTTTTAAATTCCAGATGTTATCTAAAGATCCTTTTAAATTTGAATTAAGTAGGCAAACACTTTTACCTAAGCTAGTATAACACAAATATAATTTATATAATTAAATTGTTCTACATACTTGGAGCAGGTAAACGCATTTTATTAAATTGATAATTTTAAATAGATTAGTGTCATTAATCAAAGTAAACGGATTTATAATTTCAATTAAGCGATGGCATTTTTGTTTAATCAAACTGGTTTCATAGATTCAAGTAAACTGTTTTAGCAATCGGAGTTCAGTTAAACTAATTAAACTTCTTAGCTGTCACATATTCAATAAATTTTTTTAATTGGCCTAACTTTTTAATGGTGTAATCGCATGTTAGTCTCAGTGTTCAAATTAATGATATGATCTTACCTTGATGCGACCAACTACGATTTGGTTTAGTATATAATGCGTGACCTAGATACGTGGGGATCTCAATATCTGTGGAAGATACCGCTTTGGTCAGATTACGAAAAAGCTGCGTTCTTTGGGGAGTATTTATATGCCGCTGAGAAACGTATAAAAATTTCATGGATTACTGATGTATTTGGGAAAAAATAAAATTTGGTCAAATCGTTTTTATCTCTGACTTTATTCTAAGAAATAAAAAAAACTAATGAAACTTTTTCATTTGCACTTTTTAGGCACTACATGATGTTTTTTTTTTAATTTTGTGCCCGACGTTTCGTTTATGAGAAACCATCATCACTATTTTCTTATATGATCCGAAAAACAATTATACCTACCCAGAATAAAATTTTACAAAAGATGGTTAATCTAGTGATATCCAGAATAGCGAATACCTTTTTTTACATTATTTTTATTTGATTCACAATAGGTTGCCATTATTTTCTAAACATAAATATGATCTAACAGTAGAATTCAAAACGTCACGTCACATTTCTAGTGAAATCATACTAAATGCTTCCATTACACATTCTCGTAACTGATGCTCAGTATGCTGATAAACTTGGTTTTTAAATAACCCCAAATAAAAAAGTCCAGAGGAGTTAATCCGAGGAACGCACTGGCCAGAAAATTTCACTGGACTTCCAGTCCACCTTCCAAATCACTAAAAAAGATTATCTCGGACTTACCTAGAGTTATGTGCAGGAGCACCGTCTTGTTGAAACCAACAGATATTAACCTGTGCCAAAAGTTAATTATCCAGGCCAGGCAGTCTTCTAGATCTTGTTGCAACAACAAAAGGTACCCTTTGCAGTTGATGGGTTGTGGTAATAAGTAGACCTGATATTTTGGTCCCTAGAATTCCACACTATACGAGTATATCAACCCCAAAACGTTCTTGATGTCTGGATACTTTTTTAGCCTGTAGATTTTCTTGGACTCAGAAATAAGTATTGTGACGATTAAAGATACCATTATTAGTGACCATACTCTTGTCGGACCATACTATTTTTGAAAGGAACACGTTTGTGTGTACCTACCACTAAAAAAATGCTGGCGCTGTTCGCTATCCCCTGGTCTAAGTCCTTGGAAAATCCTAAATTTATAAAAGTGATATAATATCTACTTTTACGCAAAATAAATTGAGCTGTGGATTTGGCTTCTCCTTCATTTCTCTCAATTTGCCGTTCTTAGGTTTGGTGCAGAATTGAATCTCAAACGCCCCTTGGCTACGCCTCTGAACTGCATATTAAAAGTATGGATTCATTGCTTCACACCAAAAAATCCATTATAATAGCATTATATATCTAGGTTGGTATCCTCGCATTAACCTTAAAACATCACGAATTCAACAACGCCAGTGCAAAGTTTGCATCGCTCGAGGTAGGTACTTCAACGTATTCAAGTTTTATCTAATCTTGCCAGTGCAGTGTAAAGTGGCGTGCGACGTAGTACAGTCAGTCGCAAACAATGGAGGTCGCACCTATTTTGGAAGAATGGGAGGAGCTGCGGGAGGATTACAAAAAATTGGAGTGCGCCAATGTGGAATACTTGAAGAAACTGAAAGAGTTGAACGGTGCGCAACAACAATGCCTCAAGCATATCCAACATCAACGCTATAGAATGCAGATGATGGCCAAAACACTGAGGAAGTTGAAGAAAAACAAAGAAAGCAGCGAGAAGATAAAAGAAATGGAAGACAACTTACTGAAACGAGAAGCAGAGTTACAAACAATCGAAGAACGCCTACCTAAGAAAGGGTCGGTATACTTGAAGCTCATTCTCGGCGATATCGATGTCTCATTCCTGAGCAAAGACGAGAAGTTTAAATACAAAGACGACTATGAAAAATTCAAGCTAATAAACCATGTGATAGCAGTAGTTGCAAACGTAGCAATGCTTTACACAAGCTGCAGAGCTATTGAAATACTCTACCTTGGCTTCTTGGTGTGGTATTATTGCACAATTACCATAAAGGAGGCTATCTTGAGAGCAAATGGTTCAAGAATCAAAGGTTGGTGGAGACTGCATCACATATTATCTACAATTAGTTCAGGAATTTTGTTGATATGGCCAGAAAACGAACCTTGGAGACAATTCAGAGAGCAGTTCATTTGGTACAACTTGTATAGCTGTTTTGTGACGTATCTTCAGTTCAAATACCAGAGAGGTGCATTGTATAGGCTGAAAGCTCTAGGTGAAAGAGATAACATGGATATTACAATTGAAGGGTTCCATTCTTGGATGTGGCGAGGACTAACCTTCCTCTTGCCCTTTCTCTTTATTGGATACTTGTTCCAACTAATACATGCTGTGGTGCTGTATAAACTTAGTTACCATCCTGAGGCTACGTGGCAGGTGTTGACGACCAGTATACTGTTCTTCGTTTTCTTCTTGGGAAATACCGTCACTACGATATTGGTGGTACCAGACAAGATTAAGCAGAAAGTGATGTTTTCATATAAAGTGATGACCAGGAGAGTGTATAATGTTCTTAGTGATACTGTACGTACGGGAGGTAGGATAACCACAAATGGAATTCAAAAATGACATTCTTTGGACCGTTTAATATTGAAATTTTGTAAGTAAAAGATTCAAAAGAAGTGGGAGTTGTCTTGGCGATATTTACGTCAACGCAGCTTCTGTTGCAAATTCAAATATGTATTTTGTGAACTAAGACAGAGAAGATTCATGATCTAGATACCATCAATAAATTGTGATACTGCTACGTTTTCCTGAAAAACTGGTAAACGTCATGACTGAATACATTTGGTGTTGTAATTAAAAGCCTTATTCTCAATGTTGCACTGGCTCTTGATTTATAGGTGTTTCTGTTTTGTCTTTACTTCTACTCTAACAGCTAAGCAATAATGAGCAATGTAGGAGCTGGGGAAATTTATATACAGGGTGACGGGAAAATAGATGCGGAGCCGGTGGGGGGAGATAGTACAAGCCAATCTGACTCGATTTTACTATAGGAACTGCTGTCCGAAAATTGGCCGTTTTCTAATTATACTAATTTTTAAGATTTTATAAAATTAATGTCTTTTATACGTTAACCAAGTAATAAAACTAGAAAATTGGGTGTTTCATTTGATTTTTTTTGGTTTTACAATAAAAATATTCTAAAATACGAAAATTGATACTCAAATGTACATTATTGACTCATGCAGTAAGCTTCAAAATAATTCGATTTTTGTTAAAAAAATCTTCTTTCATCTCAAAAGCTTCAGTTTACTAGAACAAGTCGCATACAAATTTTTCATACAAAATAATTGGAAAACATCTACGTTTTATTACCTTTCAAATGAGGTATAAAAATCACAAATCGATTAAGAATTGGCAAAAATATGACTATTATAAGAGGAGGAAGGAAAAAGCAATAAAAATACTACTTTTACAAAATCATACCTTAATACAGGATAATTTGTTTGAAACTACTTTTTTATTTTTTCATGATAGCTGATTTTACTACCGCCGAATTCCTAAGAGAGGCTTGAATTTCTTGTGCTGCATGTATTATCCTGTTTCTGAGGTCTTCTATTCTGGGATTTTGATCAGAGTATACTAAAGTTTTCATGCGACCCCACACAAAAAAGTCCATAGGTGTGAGATCGGGACTGCGTGCTGGCCATGGGATTGGTCCGCCTTGATTTTTCGACATGACGGGTGCCCAGCACATTTCAGGCTAAGTGTTAGAAATTGGTTAAATGAGCAGTTTCCGAATCGATGGATCGGTAGAGTCAGACCAATCCCATGGCCTGCACGCAGTCCCGATCTCACACCTATGGACTATTTGTGTGGGGTCGCATGAAAACTTTAGTATACTCTGATCAAAATCCTGTACCCACAATAGAAGACGTCAGAAACATGCAGCACAAGAAATTTAGCATCTCTTATGAATTCGGCGGTAGTAAAATCAGCTGTCATAAGAAGAGAACGTGTGTGCATTAGAAATAGAGGGCGCCATATTGAAAATGTATTATAAAAATAAAAAAAATGTAGTTTCAAACAAATTATCCTGTATTAAGATATGATTTTGTAAGCGTAGTATTTTCATTGCTTTTTCCTTCCTCATCTTATAATAGTCATATTTTTGCTAATTCTTAATGGATTTGTGATTTTTATACCTCATTTGAAAGGTAATGAAACGTAGATGTTTTCTAATTATTTTGTACGAAAAATTTGTATGCGACTTTTTCTAGTAAACTGAGACTTTTGAGATGAACGAAGATTTTTTTAACAAAAATCAAACTATTTTGCAGCTTACTGCATGAGATAAATCTTAAAAATTAGTATAATTCGAAAACGACTAATTTTCGGACAATAGTAAAATCGACTCAGATTAGCTTTTACTATCTCCCCCCGCCGGCTCCGCATCTATTTTCCCGTCACCCTGTATACTTTTTCTCAGTACACACACGTTTTTTAGCCTTTTTTGATCATTCTAAGCAAAAAAGGTTCTCGGTAGTCAAAATAACTTGTCCCTCTCTGAAATTTCAAAAAAAACATTGCCCGGAGCGAAAAAAAAATGTTTGTCATTTGACTTGAAAATTTGCCCTAGGTTTGGACGAGCGTTCTTAGAAAATTTAATCCACGCGCGATCAACATTCGCAAAAATTCATCATGAAAATGGGAAGATCATGACCCCAATTTAGAAAGAAGGTTAATTGAAATCATCTGGTTAACCTTTATTGTCAATGAACTAGCACCAAAATTTAAATATTTGATGTTCATCTCTAGGTTAGTGTTTATATGTATAAATATCAAGATCATATATTATCTATATGCGAAGATTTTTCCACAGCTATAAAAGTGATGCTAAAATGATATGGGCTATTATTCTTACTAGTGAACTTAGATACACAGGTCAAGGATCAGTAATAACAAATAGACATGAGTAGTTGTTTTAAAATATAGATAATTACAATAAAATGTTACATGATGATACAATTGCACTTTATACCGTGTATAATTTTGATCGTATTGATATTTGTGGTTTCAGATTTCATTACAACATTCTAAAAACAATTTTTATCCATTTTTACTTCCTATGCCACTGGCAAGGACGTATTAAATCGCGAAAAGTTCCGAAAATGAAACATTATGTTTATTTGGATGTTATATGACATGTATATCACAAAAAAACATATCACCTATTTGCGCCGATCTATCTGCTTGTCGGTCTGTCTGTCAGTCTCTCTGTCCGCTAATCCTTGGTCCGTGTATACTTTGGGACGTACTGCTCGGATTTGGATAAAACTTTCACACATGCTTACTACTATGCCAAGAACGAAAAAGCCTCGTAGTTTTTGAAAGTCAGCAGCAGCGACGGAGCTGGGAGTAAAGATTACAAAAAAATCGCCAAATCTTCATTTTTTGACGTTTCAGAGGGTCCTGATCATATTCAGAAACATTTCTGTAAGGGTTAAAGTTTTCCGGTTGGGGATTGCGAGCGGTGAGAGACGGTATATCTCAATATTGATATATTTATACGCTCCCAACCCCAGTAGCTCTACGAACCTTTTAGTTTTAGAGATTCTTGCTTATTTTCAAATGGTTGTAAATTGTTGCATACCTGGTGTCAGTGAAAGACCTTCTATTGTTAAAACGCTGATAATCTCAGTGGTACTATGCACCTATTAGACAAAAGGTCACACATATTTTCCCTACATTTGTCAAGGAGACAGAAATATGATAGATTTGCTTCATATAGTTTGATATGTGGAGGTCGAAGACTAATCGTACCTAAGTGAACCTATCTAATCACGATTCGGCTTCGCCTTTTGAAACGATTTGGCTCATCCTTTTTCTATGAAACCTCCAACGAAGGCGCAGAAAGTATAGAGTCAATCTACTTGCCGCCATTTTTTATTTTGGAAACAAGTTCTACATTTACTAACATTGTCAAATGAAGATGAATCCTTTAGTTATAATCTGAACTCTCATTCAGAGTTGATCTTTACAACAAGCTAGAAGTGTACGGATAGGCAAGTCAGTATCTATTTGTGTTGGCATGGTCAAGCCAGCTCTTCCGTACATAACTCTATGTACAGAAATGTCAAAAAGGGACTGCTTATTAGAATTAAGTCTATTTTTAGCAGTTACGTGTTAACATGAGTGGATAGAGCATTTTTGTCCAGATATCGATTTCCCAGACGAACAAACCCTTTACATTATGTAAAATGTAAATAGCTTCGAGAAAAGCTTTAAGGTCTTGATTTCCATTAAGATTGGTAGAATTGCTTCAATAGAGGCGTGCTAAATATGAATTCTATTGCGGACTCAAGCAACTAATCATTTTGCATGACAAAGGGCGTATTAGAATTTAATAGAACAACGTGAAGTCAGGTTAATAGCAACAAGAAGTTTCTGCTACGGTGTCAAACAAAGTCGCCCGTGCAAATTCATAATATAATGATGTCTAACTGCGTGCTGAACTCTACAGTGAAAACAAATTTGTCTGACGGATTGAGTTCAATGTGTACGAGAAGCGCGAGAAGTGTGAATCAACACATGTTAGAAAGTGATAGAAGACGATATCACCACATTGCCTAGCAAGGGTGACGCAGAAGGTCCTGCAATCTGCCGCGTTGCCGATATGTTTCCCAAGAAAATGTTCGCACAGGCTGCTACAATAAATTAGGTTACTGTCACACCCATGATGGAGGTCTGTACGAAGATTTAATTTAATACGATTTTTTCATTTTGATTAGAATTATTTATTTCAATTTTGATGCGACTTAGTGTTTTAATTTACGTTAGAATTATCTTTGATTTCTACCTATGGTGATAAAATCAACACAACCTGAGTTATTGCTACATTTTCGACAGCGCTGCGACAGGAAAATGTAACAAATAACGTTACGCAATACAAAGTTTTACTGCCTGCGTGTATGCAGGTGAAAGCCATTTCGAAGCAGGACGATACTCTAATACGAGCGCTAGATGCGTACTGACCAAAATCGCTCAACTATGATCATGGAGGAGGAAACCTTGCATTGGATTGTATAAGATGCGGTGTTATTAAACGAACCAATGATGCAATGTTGCAGAATTAGTGGCGATCCTTACCTTTCACGACTTAAAATGGAGCGCCGTTAGGACCGATCGGAAATAAATCCTAAACAGATCCAACACAATTCAAAAATAAAACCATTATTTGGCGTAAAGTTAAAATGAACAGCATCAAATATGTTAGTGCTGTCAAAAAAATAACGACAAGGAACTTAATGACACTCTCATATCCGAGAAATTTCGCAAGTTAGCGGAACACTTTGAAGTCGACGGCCCATCAATATGTACATCACGAAACCTCGCAGTATCATCAATTTTCTACGAGGATGTCACCAATGAAGATATCGTGCAAGTAATCAGAAGCCTGAGTTCTGTAGTACTGGCACCACCGCTCTTCATTGTATATATGAATTGAAGTTGTCTGGCTTCATGGTTAACTATGCGAATGACACATGTAGTCGTCAGTGCCATGACACCGCAGGATCTTCTTCAACTCATTGAGAAGGTCAAAAGTGAAATGAGCGAGTTGTGCCGGTCGAACCGACTTATCTTGTATGAAGATAAAAAAACTGTACAAGTTCATTTCTTCGACAAGAAACCACGCATAGATATTGCTAGTTTAACAGATCTAACTATATATTAAATAACCTTTGCAATAACAATTAACAGTGGTTATTTTGCAATCTTAAAATTAAAACCCAACATCCATCAAAACTCACTCTAAGGCCGGCATTAGACTATAAAAGTTCTTTGACAAAGATCTTTTATAAATTACTTTTACAAAAGTTATGCATAAAAGAAATGTTATGGTTTGCCAAACAGCCTATTATACTACGTAAAAGATTTTATAAACTATTTTAAGAAGGTAGTGCAAATACAGCTATGAACGGCGACGGTCAGGTTGCTGCCATAGCTAGCTAGCTTACTTCGGCAGCCATTGTGTAATGCCGGTCTTAAGGGGCAATTCCACTGAGGCAACAATGAACGACATGTTGCATGCTACGTGTTTCCTAGTGTTGCCTCTTGTTGACGTTCGACAGTGTTGCCCAAAATTCTATTAATGCCGCATGCGGGTTTTGTTCCCCTATGTGGCATGCGCTTTGTCGTACATGAGTGTAGCATACGTCTTCACGATTCAATTCAAGCAACTCCAGTTTAGTATGTCATGTCACTGCAGACAGTCGCGGCGGCTGCTTATTTAGTAATTTCTTCGGATCGGAAAAGAAAAAGAAAAACGTCAGAATATTGGAGAAGAAATAAATACGCAGATGGTCAAGAAATTCAGTACAATTTGTACAACAACTTGGTGGCTGACGATGATGCTTTATTCCGGAATTTCGGATGAGTAAAGATGATTTTCACTACTTAGTTGAATCAAATCTTACCTATAATAAAAAAATGTGATACTGACTTTCGGGAAGCAATAACGCCCCTCGTAAGAGTGCTAGTGACATTAAGATATTTGGCTACGCTTATGTATCATCAGTTTCGGATATCCGAACCAACCGCAGACAGTACTGTTTCGAGCTCATTAGCCCTCGTCAGTGCGGTATAGGTCTGCTCGTCTACTACTGGTAAGTCAAGGAGCTGGGCAAGAAGAAAACAATCGTATACGTCTAAAAGACTGAAGGTACTGTACGCTAGAAAGTGATCGAGGCCACCAAATATTTTTGCCTCCTGTAATTTATCCTGCTTTAGTCATGCATCTTTATATCTTTCCGATTTGTTATTCTATAATTCATCCGAGTTATGGTAATCTTCAATTGAAGATAATGTTTCTTCATTGGTTCACTCCATTTTGTTGCCTGCTACAAGCCGCACCGATCCGAACGATTTGGATAGCCGGCGACACTGATCAACACGTGGATTCATGTCGCTGACAACGGCCTCGAGAGGCAACAACGGGCAAATTGTGGCATGCAGCAAGGAGACATTTTTTGTCGCTTTGTGTTGCCTCTATGGAAAGACAGTGTGCCGCATGCGTCAATGCCGTGTGCTACATGTTGCCCAAAAGTTGCCTTAGTGGAATTGCGCCTTTAGATATGTATTACGCTCTTGTCTATTCACTAGCAATATAATCATATGGAGACAGGCAACAATGATTAACAGATTATTTATTCTGCAGAAACGAGTAATTCGATTGATTTATAATATTAATAAGAAGGACTCTTGTAAAGGAACCTTTTGATGCTATAATCTGCTTACATTAACTTCCATCTATGTTTACGAATGCGCCATCGTCGCATCTGAATACAGCAATAAATTTGTTCGTAACAACGCCATATAATACTAGAACAGGGCATGCTCTGAGTATACCGATACATAATTCTGTTCTATTCCAAAAATCTCCTATAGCAGCTTGCACTAAGATATATAATAATTTGACCTTGACCGTGAGCTCCTAAGGTCAAAATTTAAGAATGGTCCAGACCATATTTGAACGTAAAATTTTCCGCTCTTTCCATTCAAAAATAGGGGATTCGGTTTAATAAAATCTACGTGATCTTCAAATGACCTTCACACATTTTCGTGGGCTTCCGAAACCTTTCAGACATCCTGTATAGATAATATCGCGTCCACCTCGTTTTTTGCTTGTATTTTCGACGCGCCTAGATGGATTTTAGAAAACTACAAAGCTTCTTCGCCCTTGTCATAATCATTAGAAAAGTTTGTTAGAGGCACGCTGATTGCAAGTTTCCTAATATGAACGATTACACTAATTCAGCGGTGAACATTGGTTTTAAGAGCAGGGTGAGTAGCTCCATGCTTAAGAAGCAGTAGCATAGCAAATACAGGTGAGGGGAAATGCCTCCCATGTCTCGCCTAATTCCGCCTATGACCTTCCTTCAGACTTTCAAAATCCGACAGGTACCTACTCTCCAAGGTTTAGACATACTGACTGATAGACAGACAGAAAGATTGACAAAAATTAGTGATATGGTTTTCCGTGAACTACATGTTGTGTAACATCCAAAAACGATAATACCTGATTTTCGTATTTTTTCGCGATTACAATGCTTCCTCGCCAGTGGCATGGCAAGTAAAAAAGGTGACCATGCTTTTTTAACTACCCTCATATATGTTGGTGGTACGACCGTTTTCCATGCTTTTACCAAAGACGGAACTCTCAGAAACTTATTACAGCAGGAAGTAATTTTGGCAATCGATTTGAATCGTTTTCAAAGCAACACTTTACATCTCATTTAAAAATCTACCAAAGAGTGCTGGAACCCTTGTATTATGTCCATGAGCGGCGGCGGAGGGGTGCACGCGCCCAAGATTCGGTTGACTACAGGTTAAGTTAACAAAATGTGGAACATTCTGTCTAAAGAGGTTTTCCTGATTTACCAACCTTAGATAAGTTAAAAATCAGTTCAATAAGATATCCTTACCTTCTTTATACCACTATAAAAAAACTGATTTACATGGATATTCGATTTTCAAGTCATCTCCGATTTTTTCAGTAGACCAAAATTCAGTTTTCCCAAATTCCTTGGATATTAGAGATAATTACCCGCTTAACTTGTTGTGAATTGGGTAGAAATATAAAACATCAGATAAATTTTATGATTTATTTTGTCCCCTGAATATTGTAATTACATCTAAGATATACAAATCTAAAGTAAAATAAAAAATGTCTGATGGTATTACTATTCTACAAGTGATATTCCTTTTTGTATCATTCTTATACCCGTGTATATCTTTACTGGAATGTAAGGTAGGTTTTGCACTACACGATTTAATATACGTACAATTAAATAACACAAACAAACATTTTCAATTTACCATATTTACCAATTAACATTCAGTTTCAGTCCTACCATATAGTATATAAAAACGTAAATACTGACTTGCATAACTCATTTCCTATAAAATAAACAACGAATTTAATATTAATGTGGTTAAATAATACCTAATTATTGTATGTATTATACTTATATGTCATAAGGTTCTATGGTATATAAATTATCAATAGAAAAAACTAAGATTACTCATTCAAGAGAACAAGTAACTACTAAATGTAGATCCTGATGCTTCACTCTTTATTCTTCACAACCGATGCCATCCAACACGCCAAAATTATGCCCACGATCTAAGAGATAGAAAATAAGAGCTTAGCAATCATTGGATAGTATGATTCAAAAGGTACTCCGTAGAAAATAGTCAACTATTTTCGAAGTGAGAATGAAAACGTTTTGTACAAATTGGTTAATGGATTCCTCAAAAATGATGCTTCTAGATCACGACCAACGTAACTTTTACTAGTTTTCCGAACTCTGCAAATATTAGAAGAATTTTAGTAAACCCATGTCAAAGAAAACATAACACCCAATAAAAATGGCGTTTAATAGGTTTACTTTGCACTAGAAATATAATTAGTCCAGAGACATTCTTTCCCTGACCTACCATTCCACATCTTCGCGGCATCGCTGCATCGAGTTACCTTCATTTCGTGCATGGTCCTTGATGTTTGTGTATGTTGTTTGCGCTGCAGTATGGATAGATTAGTCAGCCGAACCGGTTCGCCGGTTTCGGGACCCTTTCGCACCGGCACCGGCGGGCCGTCAGCGATCCAGCTCTGTTCTACCGCTACGCCAATGGACTTTGCTCCTCAGAGCAGAGTCGGTTAAATAGGGGCAAAGCTCCGAATTTAGGTAACTAAGAAAAAGACACAGTTTCGCAATTCCGAATATTTCCGGAGATAGACGAAACAAGCAGAATTTCCCCAAAATCGTTTTTATTTTTTCCTGCCTTTCTTTGAAATGGGATTTAAAAATAAAAGGTATATTAACATTGCCACTTTATCTCTTCTACAAGCTGGCATGATTAGAATTTCAATAAGACGTTTCGTCTCTTCTTGTCGTCAGTCATCAACTATATTTTTTCTTAAAGAGGACATATTGGATTTTTGCGCAGGTGAATAGAGTTTTTGATTCTGATTTCAAAATGTATAATGTCATAAATTAACATTGATAAAGAAACGGAATTTCTTAATTAGACCTTGAAATTATCAGATAATCAGTTCGTCGGTCTCCGCACGTAGAGGCGTAAATGACAAAAAAAATCTTGAATCGAGTTACGCCGTAATTTCACATATTGTTTGTTGTCTCTCACCTCATGAAGTGTCGTAACTGTATATTATTTCGCTGCTTGGAGATAAGATTCTTAAAAAATTGCGATATAATTCCGAAAACAATGTTCACGTACCGGCTTAAATAGATTTACTCCTCTGCGTTAAAACTCGTTTTCTGTATTTGACCAATAATTTATTATATAGCACGTACCGGCGCATAGGTCCCTTTATTCCCTCCCAGTTCCATCCTGTAATACGTTTTGCTAGATCTAAACAGCCCTATACCGTCATTCCAATGAATTATATATTTTCATAATGCAATTTGTATTTTCGGTTAAACTTACTCTAGGATTTACTTTTTATTTGTACTTATAATATTATGTAAAGAATAAAACAATTTGTATTTATGGAACAGTATTTTCGATACTTTGATACCCATATCCAGTTTTAAATTGTTGGCGTAACTACCCAATAAAAGAAACAAGAGTCATAACGAAGTGACGTAAATGTACAAAAAATATATTTTTTAAAACTCATTCTACTTTAACAAAATTAAACCATCCTTAAACAAAGTTCTACATAATTTTATTTTAACAAAAAAAAAACAGCAACGTGCAGACTAAAAAATCAGTATGTCATTTTCAATCTTATTTATTGCTGATTTTCGTTTTATAGCTCTCCTGTAAAATTTGTTAGTTAACGCCGGTACGTGCGGAGATCGACATTTATTTAGTTTTTATGAATTATGCATAGGTAATATTGATGATGTGATATTTTACAGATCACGACATCCGTTGATATTATAAATCAAATGGTTACAAAAGTAATAGAATAGTAATAATAGTAAAAAATATCGATCTTACCATTTGAAAACGTCTTACCTCAATAAAGGCGATTCCAATTCCAACCCCAATAAGCACCTTAGATCCAGATTCCGCTTTGTTCTCAAGTTCATAGATACAACCGTAAGAATAGAGGTACTCGTCATTTGGCTGCGCCTTACGGCATTGATCCTGATTGGGGGTAGGGGCGTTGTCCCTAGGAGCGAAACAACATGATGCTGGACGTCTGTCACCCCAGTCGTTAGGCCCCTCGACACCACAACATTCCAACTGAAACGAAAAAATGGTATCAATCAATAAAGCATTATTATTGTAAGAAAAGAAATGATGTATAGCATAAAAAAGGAAATAAATGGATCAAATGAGCTAAACATGCCTATAAAATTAGTTGTATCTGGCCAAGGGTGCTGAAAGCGTTTCTTCACAAGTTCATTCCAAGGGTTGGGTCTACAAGTAAGGTAATATAACTCGTATCACCTTTTAATAAAAACCCTCCTAGGACCAGGATCCTCTACGACGTCAACAACGAAGTTTAAGCGATTTTTTTTGTCTTTTTGTTTTTCACTCCGCCGCCACTGGACCGATTTCTAAAATCTACAAACTTTTTTCATCTTTGGCATAGTAGTTAGGTCAGGTTTCTTGTGAGTGCATCAATAACGATTCTCCACTGCGACTATGGTCTATTGTGGCGCTAGCATAGTAGTAATCTAGTGTAGTATTTAATCCAAATCCGAACTATGCATTCCAAGTTATAGACGGGTGAAAGGCAGGCGGATAGACCGATCTACAGAAAGATGGAAATGAGCTACATGGTTTTTTGGGATTTTATAATTGGGTGCTTGGAAAATACTTAGGAACTTTGGCAGCATTAAAATTTTATTTTTGGAGTGGAAAATATATTTCGCACTTTTCTAAACATTATATATTGAAAACTATCAGATTTAGCGAATAATTGATAAATCTTCTTGACAACATTTTATATTCATGTACTGTTGTATATTATGTATAAATACAGACCCTGCTTTGGATATTATCCCAGGCAACTTTGTCTGCTTTGCTCTTTTCATAGTTATTCAACGACGTCATCATCACGTCTCTAAGGGCTGATCTGAACTCGTTCTTATAAGTAGCTGCTGCTATGCCTACTGCGAATTCTACGATGAATATGACGAGAAGGCATAAGGCAAACTGGAAGAAGAAACATGCTTCGTTAGATTGACCATAAAAACCAGTTACATGAGCATGTTTATAAAAAACCCCAAAATATGTCTCTTTTATGTTTGAAGGTTACAACTGAAGAATTTTCGATTGGGCTTCAGACACACCATTTGAAAAATGCCTTTACTGGCTACTAAATAGTGTTTTCAGATGTACTGTAATAAATCACCATTTAGATATGTTTAATGATCCGTTTTATGAACCTCATCTCCAACATATGAAATTCCAATATATTAGAGAGCTTTTATTGCAACAAAAATGACGAATCTTTAAGCCTTCCCTACGTTATTTTTGATAGTGATACCAAATGAGGATCTCTATTAAGAGCGAATATTTTTAACATATACTTTACGATTCGATTTAAAATCAAACATATTCTTTCTATTATGCTGAAAATGGGTAGAAACGAATTATATTTTTTAAATATTAATTTCTGTAGTAAGTAAACCTTGAGTTATTGGGGAGTTCTTAAAGGCTTTTGTCTTGCTGCTTCGCCGTGCCCTTCTTTATTTCGATTTTGCGCAATAGCGAGACATTCATCCGTTATCCGTTTTCAAAAGAAGAAAACTCCTAAGGTTATATTTCCTTTATTCAGTGCTGCTATATAATGTAAAATTAAGTTTTAGGTCGCAGGTAAAAATAAATGCATATAATGAGCAGCGTTCTAAACGAAGTGAATTGTCGTGATTTTTGTTACACACAAATATAAACGAAACTTTTTCATGAAATTTAACAAGGTTCATGACTGTCAGTAGTCAGTACTGTTAAATTACTACGATACACTATAGTGGTCATGCAAACTCTGGTTTTTCCAAACCATCCTTATTAGCTCTTACTTTCAAACATAAGGTACGCGTAACGGAAGATTCGTTATATTTGTCGCATTAAAAACTCTCTATTATATCTGTTGAATAGGTAATAAATGGACATATCACATGACTTGTCACAAGCTTCTACTCCCCATTTAAAAATTCAGCGGTTGCGACTCACACTCTTAGGATATTATATTTACAGACAAATTTTTCACGCAATAGATACTTACTTAGTCTGAGATTGAGGTTTTTCATAAATACACACAATATTCTTAATCCGTCTCTAATAATCAGGTATCTTACCGCCATAAGCATATAGTAAGACTCTCTAATAACCCCGTAGCACCCCAGGGTGGCTACGAGAAATACTATGACTCCTGCAACAATGAGCACAACTGGAGGTGCTAGAATTCGGCCCTCTAAGAAGTGGCCAAATTCACCTATGTCTGAGAGGACTACGGCTCCTGCTATGATCAGACCCAAACCGGACAACTGGAATAGAATGAAATAGAATTGTAGATATCATGGATCATTGGACTGGGCATCAATATCGTGCAAGGTAACAAATCTGAGGTTCTTGTAAAGAATTCGTCTTAATGTAGCTGACTGCCAAAATAGTGTCAAGTCTTCTGGATATCTTAGGATGTCAACTCATAACACGTCTTATAGTAACTATTGTAACGCCCTCATAATTGGAACTCGGAGCAACAATGAGAAACCTTCGTAAGGTCGACGGTTAGGCAACCAGATTTACGCGACCACCCATCGAGAACATTCGTCACGCGTCGAGAAACATCGCAATCTGACAGGCTTCGCGTTTCGTCCACGATACACATACACTGAAGATAGGATATTGCGCATGTGGGCGGAGCTTCGTGACGTCATCCGGTGAGTTGTCGGCTCGTGGTTACCAGTGGCAGGATTGTCGTATCGTTACTGCAGTTCACGTGTATCGTGGTTAATACTAAATAGTGCGATGTTTTGGTGTTTTAGCAAAAAGTGGTTACATCTTACAAAAAGAAAACACAAAGTCAATGTAAAAAGCGTTAGGGTTTGCTCGAAGCATTTTTGTGAAAGTGCCTATAAGGTCAATTTAACATATACCTTTTTGGGTTACACCCCTAAAAGTTACCGTGCTCTAAAAGATGATGCCATTCCTATGGAAAATTTACCCAAGTCTCTATCATCACCTGGACCATCTACATCTGTTGATGGGGAAAAGCGGAAAAGTGCTTACGAAAAAAGGCAAAAGGCTCAACTTATCCCCTAGAGGTTAAGTATAGAATAAGGTCATATATTTTGGGGCGAAACGAAGGCGCATACTCAGAGTATTGCATTCGGTACTAGAAGCAACAATACTAACAGCAAAAACCAAGTTGAAAACAAACAAAACCATTTTGATCAGATTCAACCTGCAACATTACAATTCATACCAAAATCACGATACATTCCAAAATTCCCACAAAAAACTGAAAATCGCCACCCTCCCACTTCCCTTTAAGATGCACCATTATGCGATAATTAACCCTTGCATAGATAAAGACGCTTTATCAAGAAAAAAGTAAATAAGTCAATACTCATCACTTTGAAGATTTTTTCATATTATTATTTTTAGAAGGTCAAGTTTAATACCCAAAACTAAGGTCGAATTTCATTTTTGCTTTGGATAATGAACGTAACAAATAGATAGCAATTAGAGTAACTAGCTAAAAATAAATCTTATTTGTAAAGAAAAATTGAACACATGTCCAATTTACAATATATAACTGACTGACTCAAATTCCGCGCCATTTTTGATACACGCATTTCAGTAGGTGGCGCCGCAGTAGTTGTTTCAAAGCATGGAGCATTATTATGGTTTTCGTGGGGTGTCTCTGTGCTTTTTTAGATCATATCTGACTGGAAGATCTCAGCTCGTTAGTAGTAATAATAAACATTCAGAAATTAAAGGTGTAAATTATGGTGTCCCTCAGGGATCCATACTTGGACCAATACTTTTTTCCCTTTACATTAATGATCTTTATTACTACTTATTACCAGATATTTGTGTATTGTACGCAGATGACACCACCCTTATAAAGAGTCACAAAAATCTTCATATATTACAAAGCTTATCTAAACAGCTTGAAGAAAAGGCAAACAACTGGTTTAAACAGAATAGCTTATGCCTAAACTCAGACAAAACTAACAGGCTAGTAGTAACTAGTAACTCTTCTCTTGCAGAAAACAAATGTGTAAAATTGCTTGGCATAACAATTGATAGCTCACTAAAATGGACAAAGCACATCGAAACCCTATGCAGCAAATTAGCCACAAACATATTCTTACTACGCAGACTAAAAACTTGCATTAGTAATGAATGCCTTGTTAGTGTTTATTACTCCCTCATCGTCTCTCACATTCAATATGGCTTATTAATCTGGGGAAAGTCTACCCATATAAATAGAGTCTTTATATTACAAAAAAAAGCAATTAGAATTCTTGCGGGAGCTGGTTATCGTGACCACTGTAGGCCACTCTTTATAAAATTAAATATGCTTACAATTTATTCAATGTACATCTATCAGAGCCTTGTTGAGATTCATAAGAACAAGCACAAATTCTCAATGCACTCGGATGTTCATGGATATAACACCAGGCATTCCAATCTACTTCAACCTAGCGCTCACAGGCTAAAGATCTCAGATAAAAACTCACTTGATGTTAGGGTATATAACAAGCTAAAAAACACTACTAAGAATCTTACCTTAAAACATTTTAAAAATACACTTTGGCAAGAATTAGTTAAACATCCTTTTTATTCCTTGAATGAGTTTATCGCGACCCCCCTATGTGTGTGATCTGGCCTACTACACCTTTATATTATATTATATTTTATTTTATTTTTACCAATTATAGTTTTATATGTATTGTATACGTCATCAGTAATTTTCATGACAAGTGTAAAAACAAATGTTTTGTTAATTGGCACGTAATATATATATATTCATTCATTCATATGTCCAATTCATCATGGAGCGCTACACGATCCCACAAAGCGTCCATATTGTTAAAACGTTTTACTTAAATAATGACTCGATTGTTGCAACGATTCGGAAGCTACGAAAAGATTTCGGTCGAAATAATGTGCGGACTATCAACACCACTCGTCAGTTGGTTTTTTGAACAAAGAGGTGAAATTAAAGACTTGCCAAGGCCGGGCCGTGTTCGAACTGTTCGTACTCCAGAAAATATCGAGAGACTTCGTGAAAGTGTAGTGGAGCGCCCTGAGACGTCTACCAGACATCGTTCTCAAGGACTGAGTATTCTTCGCAGTCATTATGCACTATCTTAAAAAAGACTTGCATTTGCGGCTATACAAAATTCAGTTAACCCAAGAACTACAGAATAGTGACCATGAAAGTCGCCGACAATACAGTCATGCAATATTGTAGCTTAATACCCAAAATAACAATTTTTACCGACAACTGATAATGAGCGATGAAGTCCACTTCGATATGAACAGATTTGTTAATAAGCAGAATTGTCATATCTGGGCATTAGAGAACCTTCGTGTTATCGATCAGCGACCACTACATCCTCTTCGAGTCACAGTTTAGTGCGGTGTTTGGTATGGAGATGTCATTGGACCTTACTTCTATGAAGACGATGCAGGCAATTTTCTTACTGTCACTGGGGAGCGGTACCATGATATGGTGCAAAACTTTCTGGCTTCTCAAATACAACAATTTAACCTGCAAAACATGTGGTTCCAGCTAGGGAAACAATGAATCTTTTGCGTACAATATTTCCGGGACGTTTAATTTCTCGATTTGTTGATGTCAACTGGTCATCAAGGTCGCTGGATTTAACGGCTCCTGACTTTTTTAATGGGGATTTTTGAAAAATAAGGTTCACGTAATCAAACCAAATATGTACTGTATAGCAGCTGAAGAACAATATTACGGTAGCGCTTGAAAATATTCCTCCCGAAACCTACCAAAAAGTGATGGAAAATGTAATCAAGAGCTTAGGTTTGCGCGGCTTCTAGAGGCGGACATTTGTCTGATAGTTTTTTTCAAACATAATTTCTAAGTTTCAATTGAAGATTACGAAAAAATGAACGTATTTTATTTCATTTCACAAATATTCAAGATATAAACCAGTCAGTTACATATCGGCCTCCCTGTATTTATAGCGTCGGCGGTAAATGAGTAGGGTCCTTATCTAGAGCTACAAAAAAGGGCTGGATAAATTTTTGATTAAATTTCACATTTGGCAAACTCACTTTCTAGTGTATACTAAGAAATCTGTAAATATTGGTATAAGACTATTTTTCTCAAAAAATTTGCAAAAATAGTATTTTTGAACGAAACTTCCTGGACGCTGCATAGCGTAAAAACTTTAACTTCTATTTATTATTCCAAATTTATTTAAAAAATTGAACCCTCCAGCAAAATTGAACATATTTATGATTTTGAAGGCTTTTTCATATTATAAAACTCTTCAATAAACCATTTATAGTAATCTAGTTCCTTTAATATAGGCAATATTGTTATTTTTCGAAGTTTGTCGTTTGATAATATAGTTAATTATCTTCAGATAAGGACTATCTCAAAAAAAGCCAAAAGCTATTTCTTTGAGGATATTTTTCTAAATATTGCTTTTAGAAGTAGAGTAAGTTTGATTCCCAAAAATACAGAATCTTGCAAAAAGACGACTATAAAGATTATCAAAGCAGAGGCGTAGCTACTGTGGGTGGCACCCGGTGCGGAAGTTGGTGGTGTCACCCCATTGAAAGTCTAAAGCAATACATTTTATATGATTTATAAACGTCATGGATCATTTAGTATTCATATTAAAAATATTGAACAAATAACAAAACCCAATACAGACTAAGACAGAAAAAATATTTTTATCTTACAATTAAAATCTTTTCTTTCTAACTTTGACAGCAGCAAACTCAGAAATACCGGCATCAAAATTTATATTTTGTATTTTCTCGTGTTCGATGGCTGATATACTCAAATTGCTAAGCCGCGATTGGAACATTGTTGTCCGCAAATAGTTTTTTATTGATTTTAGTTTACTGAAACTCCTTTCAAAGGAAGCTACGGACACGCAAAACGTCATGAACAATTTTAGTGCAATCATAAGATTTGGAAGGGATTCTGTAAAACCTCATTCTACAATAAGCTTTAAAAATCTAGAGATACCCAATCAGAAACTGTAACGTTAGCGGCTGTTAAGTGTCTTCGCAGTATTGCTATCTCCAAAAGTAATTCTGTTTCTGAGACCTCATCATAAAAATCACTAAATATGAATGTATCTAATTTCAGTTCTTTAGTATTCGCCAGAAGTGAAGTATTTGTTTGTACGATCTCGAACAGTGAACCTAGGTCTTGACGAGACTTCGATTTTCTCTAGAGTTCAACTCTGAATCGGTCGAGACATTCCAAAATATCTTTTTAAAGTTCTTCTTTCAGTGTGAGTCCTGCATCACTGGCGATCTCACCAACCACCCGTATTTTTACGACGAAGTCGTCTTTCTGTTGGAATATCGTAGTCTTCTGATTTTGAGCGAATCTCCGAATTATACATAGAGCTGAACTAGTGCTTGTGGAGGAATCACCGAAGAAGACAATGTGCTAGCGATTTAATTTTTTTATGTTTGTACATTGTTCTTAAAGTAGAGTCACCGGGTGGATGTCACCCCAAAAAAGGCAACACCCGGTACGGACCGCCCCCGCCGCCCCCCTTGTTACGCAACTGCTAGATAGTATATGTAAGTCAAAACTGGCTTAAAAATTTTTTAATCAAAACTCAAATTTGGAATAATCACGTTTTCCCGTATAATATGAAATCTGTGAAATATTGGTAGAAGTAGCCTAGAAAAAAGTCGTACGAGATGAAATAAAGCCTTATATGTTAAATTTGTCGCAGCAACTTAGTCAAGGAAGAGCAATTTTCAAAAAATTAGGAAATTTGCAAAAATAATGAGTATTTTTGAATGAAGCTTCCTGGATGCTACATACCATAAAAGCTTTAACTTTAATTTATTATTTCAAATTTAATAAAAGATTAAACGCTCCATCTAAATTGAACATATTTGTAGTAATACTTACAGTTTGTTTAATATACGCAACATTATTTTTTGTCGTTTAATACAAAAGTGGATTATTCTTAGATGAATACCTGTTTCATAACCCTTGAAAAAATTCCGTTATCTAATTCTCCTACGCATTTTTTCAGAAAATCGAAGTACCTAGTTCGAATATCTTCGGAACTACAATCAACAATACTAACCGCAAAAACCAAGTTGAAAACAAACAAAACCGTTTTGATCAGATTTAATTCGCACCCCTTCATGTTTCACACGAAAATCACGACACATTCGACTCCTTGAAACTCCCGCAAAAAAACTGAATATCGCCACCCTACCACTTTCCTTTAAGACGCAACCTTACGCGGCAATTAACCCTTGCCGAGAGAAAGACGCTGACCATTGGCTATCGCATTGTTTGAATACACGTTGGCATGGAGACGTACATTCTTTGCTTTGCCGTGATTCTCCCTAATTTTGACCGCTTGACATTCCTAAGAATAATTATATGTGTCACTCGCGTTTAATGACATCACTTTTACTATGTGGACCATGGTAGTTACGTCTTATATGGATCATAGAAACAGGCAGACAACATTCAGATATTTTAGCTATAGGAGTTCTTTTCCGGTTGTTTTCTCTTCGAAGTGATGTTTTACCTGTTGATGTTTTACTTCGTACGCCGTTTGACAAGATGTCATTGTAATCGCAAACAGTTTTGAAAAGAAAAGATGGGTCTTCTGTTAGTCTGTCCGTTAATTCCTACCCTTTCTATGTTTAAATCGGAAAGCACCGCTCCGATTTTGATGAAATTTTGACACACTGTTGCTGCTATCACAAGGACAGTGCCGACAGAGCTATGGATATAAAAACAAAATAAAAACACTCAAACTTTGTTCTATGACGTTTCAGAGATTCCTGTTCATTCTTAGAAAAAATTTTGGATTTATCAATATTGGATGTTGGTGGCTGTCGGATCCAGAAACTAGCAATTGTTGCTTTTATGGTTTGACTGAAAGACCTATTATTAAGAATATTCTGATCTCCATAATATTACACACCTGTTAGAGATAATAATCATATTTATTTTCTATACATTTGTAACTGAAACAAATTATTATGATTATATTCCATGTGAATCTTTTGATTAGACTTTTTTTGTTTAAGTTGCTTTGATGACCGAATATTATAACTGATCGATTTGATCAAAAATTAATTACCTGTTATCTTCTTATAAACTAATACTTGTCACTAGAGGTAATATGTTGATGACCTCCAGAAAATCTTAACGCTTAACAATACACAAGTTCATATGGCTTGATTCTCTTCAATCGTCGACAAACCGAGGTGATTAACCATGTTCCTCAGAACTATTTGGGAATCTTTGAATAATTTCAATGCTCGAAATCTTGGAGCAGTCCCATATTTGGAAACCATACAGCCTTTAAGATCAGATTATAGATCGTGATTTCCTTAAGGAGGAATTGCAGCGTCGTTTTTTTGTCTTTTTACTTCCCACGCCTATTGGCGAGGAAATCCTGCAATAGCAAAATTTTTCGAAAATGAGATATGCCTTTTGGATGTAATGTGATATGTGCATCACGACAAAAGTCGGTCTGTCTGACGGTCAGTTACACAGTATTACTAATATACCAAGGAAGCAACAGCTTTGTAGTTTTTGAAAAGCGGATCAGTGGCGACAGAAAAAGAGTTCTAAAACGAAAAAAGTAAAAATCGCTCAAACATCGTTTTTAGAAGTTTCAGAGAAATCTGATTAAATTAGAGGTAAACAAACTTGGGGGTGGAGGTTGTAAGGGGGTGAGGAGGGTTTATTTTAAATTTTTGATGCTGGTACATTTATACGCTCCCCCCTACTTGACGTCATTTTCCTTTTTACACTGTGCGATTATACGTATAGCTATCATGATTGTATTAATTTGTATTTTTGACTCCAATGCTATCGTTTCTTCATGGTTGTTATTTACCATTGTCTGTTATATTTGTACTGTCTGTATATTTTGATTCTATTTGTATACTTTTTTCGACTTTTCCTATACTATGTTCATAGTATTTGAAAATAGAACTATTCTACTCTATTCTAGGATCTTCCCAATAGTATTGCTCGTAGTGGTGGTTCAGATCTTTACTCTTTTTTTGATATGATGCTTCCACTTGAGCCTAGTGTCAAGGACTACACTCAGGTATGTAGTGTTTGGTTCCAATGGTATGATGGTGCATTTAACACTTATTTGAGCTAGACTTGGCAAGCTTTGATTCGCTTAGTTTGATTTCCTACCTCTGAGTCATTTCACAAAATTACAACACTCAACACTGAAAATCACCATCAAAAGTTGAGATTAGTTCTGCTCTTCAAGATATTGAGCCTACTTGGGTATTAAAACCTCACTACGCACTGTAGTCTGAAAGTCGTTTTCACCGCGGCAAGGAATGAAAATTTAGAGAACTATAAATGCCAAATAAACCCTTTTTAATTGACCTGATGTCCGTTTAGTTTTGTGACTGTTATGGATGAACAATATTTTGATGTAAACGTATTAAGTTATTTTTCAGATATGTAAAAAAAATGTTTCCCATTGTTGCTTACATGATTAATATTTGAATACATGGTTTTATTCAATCTTCTCATCTTGACTCAAGTATCAACTATTTAATCACCCAAACAGATGATTCATGTTTTCTGTTTCGGGTCAGAATGCCACGGAAATGTGTCAATGCCATCGGCCACTCGGCTCATTCCCCATTCGGCTGATCTGCCAATTCTAAAAACCGCCTCAAAATTATGCAAGAAAAAGCAGTCGTTAGGACAGTGCCCCAGATTTTAAGGCTGAAGGTTTGAGTGAGCCCCGCATACTAAGTCAGAAAGAATTGAGTGATCTCATAAGAGATCTTGACTTATCGAAGGAGAAGTAGTGGTATCTACTCCAACCAATCCACAGTGACTGGAACCAATACACAGTGATCTGTAGTATATCTTAAAAACAGGACCTAATGCAACATTTTTATGGCAATATTCGTTTTTCTCGACAAAGAATTAGTGAGATTTGATTACTTAGAACTACGAAACAGACATACATTTTTGTTGGTCAGTGTTATTGGTAGCAGTCTGAATAGACTTGACATATTCTTTTTTGTCATCAGTATGCGGAGACCGTTGACCTTATTTCTCATATGCAATTGCTTTATTCGATTTTTTAATGATAGCTCATATATCGTTAGGTTTGTAAATAAACCAAAAAGAATCTGATAACAGGATTATGTTAAATTATCTGAAATTAGTTTGAAGTTTCTCTTCTTCATCCCAAAATTAAAGCCCGGGTATTCCCTAGGGAACTGGTCTTGGTTGACGTTCTTTCGTTAAACAAAAATTATATTGTCAAAAAAAACCTAATATATTCAGCTTAACATCCAGACACATGAATTAGCAATTTTTTTGAACTGTCGGCTTAAAAAAAACACCGACGGCATGCGCTTTCTTGGTAAAAATTAACATAGCTAATAGTTATTCCTCGGAATTATTTAATAAATAACGTATTCTGACACAAAATCGATGCTTAACATTTAACACGCTCCTCCGCTTTTTGACGAGGCATAGGAAACTCTATAATATTCAACATACAACTTCATATTTATAGTTGTATCAATACCCGATATTGATTGATTCAAAATAGACTCGTCGTTGTGTTTACTTATATGGTCATTAGCTTTTTACTTCGCACGCCAAAGGCGAGAAGATACCTAACCCAGTTGAAAGACGCACAGTGGTCTGAACCCAACGACATGTTATTTAGGTTTGTCCAAATCAGTGGTCAATTGGCCACTTTGGGGGCATATTAAGGTCACTTCAAGATCACTTCAAGGACAAACTCAAAACAAATCTAGCATTCGAGTCCAGACGTGTCTCAGATGTGTTTATATGGTCGTTGAATTTACTCAAAGATCAGTTCGTCTATTCGAAAGCATTTTAAGGTCATTATAAGACCAATTAAAGGAAAAATTGAAAAATGTTGCCAAATAAGCACGCACGGTTATTACGTATCTTGAAAAGGGACATGTTTTCGTTTTTTGACATTTTGCTGAATTTCAAAAATCAAGGAGATAAGAAAAGAAAATCCCTGGTTGATGAAGTGACAGGTGGGAAAATATGCTGCAGCAGGAATATTTCTGGAAGTGAAAAGGTTACTACATTATTTTTTATTTCTAATCATTTAAATTTTATAGAAATTTATTTTGCGATGTCAATAGAAAATACAAATTACCGCCTATATGTGAGCCACTGCGAAATCGTTTGATGTGTGATGCGTCATTCCTAATTTTTTTCCGCAGGCGCAGTGGTAATTTTTCTTAATGCTCCTCAAAGTTTTTGGAAACATAAAAAAATGGGAAATATCGTAGTGTTCTTTAGAAAGGACAACATATAAATAACCCGTCGGGCACAGCTAATATATATGTATACTTCATTGGTAGCATGTCCAGTAATAATTTTCTTACATATGCAAATATCACTGATTTTATACACAGGCAGACCAATTATCCAGATGCAATCTTGCTTCTCAACCAACTTTCAGTCTCTCATATCTTCTCATAGATAAACACTAGGTACAGACTACTCGGCTTCACAAAACATATAAACTCGGCTTTCCGTAACCAACAATGCATGCTTTAGCATGTCGTGTCGTTGAGTCATTCCTCCATAGGTGGACGCTCACAGCGAGCAAACGAGGAATGAACTATTTGCACACAAAAAACGATCTAGTCTGCAAGATGTCTGTTTGTTTTTTACATTTTTTATTTTTTTTACATAATACCCCTATCGGTCTAGTTTAACGTAATTAACGTATTCTACCTGACGATGACCAGCCTAATGCTATATTTCTGCGTTAAGAAGTCAATTCGATGGTAAAGTGAGATACCGTAGCGTCATCTATGAAAATTTGTAACAGCTGTTTCTCTATTTACTTCATATACTTTGAAAATGTGAGTATATCACAGATGATAATATCTATATGATCATATTCAGGCATATGAGTAGCAACAACACCATCTATGAGACACCAACCATTTTAAGTATACAAGGTGTCCAAATAGTTATTATTAAAGTTGTTGAAACAAGTTTTAGGCAGAGCTAAGGGCTACAACCTGAAATTATTTTTAGCTATACAAGGTAACACATGAATTAGTGACAATATAAACTTTTTTAAATAGGATGCCCTGTATTTCTGTAGATTTTTGGAAGCGCCTTGTCTTGGCCCTTCTGCCAATGTATGGCTTTGGGGGTTTGTACTGGGTATTTCGGAATACATGGACACTCTTTCGTTAAAATCATTGTACATTTGTCTTCCCGTATCTTAAACACAC